GCCCAATTAAAATGAAGCACCTCATCCTGACCTGGGGTTTCCCCTTGTACCTTCATAAACTGCCATTTTCCTATGCGCCGTGTCTGTCTCCTCTCTATCCAGAGGCAGTCCCTTGTCCTCTGGGACAAATACCCTTGCCTCCTTTTCCTTGTTCCCTTCCCCTTCTCCCTTGTTCTCTTTGTCTCTCGGTCCTGTCTTTGTCTCTTATTCCCTGTTCTCTGTCCCTCGGGAAAATAAATCTCCTGTGTGCTGAGAACCTTGTCTTGGGGGTCCAGAGCCGATACTGTTCCTTTCAGTGTCCACTGTGGGCTGTTCTAAAACTATGGCCAAGTTTGCATTTGGAGGTGAGGTGGGGTACAGGGTCGTGGGATGGCAGTTTACATCAGTGTCTGAGGTCCTAAAGCCTGCAGTCTCTTAGCCGACTCCCCAAAAAGAGGAGAGAAGGGAAATGACCAATCCTCTGAGGCTGGGGGACACCCCATCTGTCACATGTGTGGGGTTGAGGCAGGATAGAGAAAATTAAAGGGACATTGGGGGGAAAAGGAGCCCCTCAGGTTGGAATCTGATAAAAGCTTTCACAGCTGACACTCAAGAATTATTGAATAAATAATGTTTACTATGAGAGTGGTCATGGACATAAGAGACAGTATTTTTAGAAAAAATTTTTTCGCTGGGTAGTGGTGGTGTATGCCTTTAATCCCAACACTCAGGAGGCAGAGGCAGGTAGATCTCTGAGTTCGAGGCCAGCCTGGTCTTCAGAGCAAGTTCCAGGACAGAGAAACTCTGTCTGAAAAAAAATGTATTCGTGTATTTTATGTATGTGAGTGCTCTGTCTTCGTGCACACCAGAAGAAGGAATCTGATCCCCTTACAGATGGCTGTGAGCCACCACGTGCTTGCCGAGAATTGAACTCAGGTCCTTTGGAATACAGTCAAATGCTCTTAACCACTGAGCCATGTCTCCAGCCCCAATAATATTACTTTTATATAGAGATTTTATGTTTCAAATAAGGATGTTAAATCGCAGCAACTTTGAACCCCATCCACAGAAAAGACATGTCTTAACCCCCTCGAGCAACCCTGTTACCCGTGGTGTTTTTGTCTTGTTTTAGTCTCAACCCTGACTGGGCTCACAATCACACACAGCTGAGGATGACCTTGACCTCCTGACCATGGGCCTCCACATGACCCATCCATCCTATAATCTCAGTTGGGAAAAGGAGGCGAGAGAGGAGAGAGAGAGAGAGAGAGAGAGAGAGAGAGAGAGAGAGAGAGAGAGAGAAAGGAGTCTCCTAGCAACTGTTAGGAATGCAGCTTGAGAGCCGCTGGAATCTATACGTGACTATAGCTAAGACGACGAAGCACAGCTCTTCTGCGGAGCCTGTGTCTAGGCTCGGGCTTGTCTTCCTGTCCTTCTCCTCAGTCCCTTTCTATCAACTCCTGTTCTGAAGCTGCACCTGCGTCTAAGAGTCTACAAGGCTGACTGATTAGCACGGCCATGATTGTGGCGATCTGGGGTATCGCAGACCTGCAGCCAAGTTCTCTTGGGCTATCTTTAGCCCATCTCTGCGTTTGATCGAACAATATTGTATGATAGGTCCTTTCTGTGGGGTAATAGCCTCAGGTTATGAGGGACTGAGTCAGGCAGTACCAGGCAATAGCCACTAGCCAGAAAGAATAGTTTAGCACTGGCCGATGGATCTGCTCCACTCATGGAAATAATAATGCCTAAGTATAGAATATAACCCATCCTGCTTCCAGTCAAACTCCAAAAATTAGCTGTACTGCCTGGAAGCTGCCCACGTATGTATATACACCTGTCCCACAGCCCCTCTAAGTGTACTCAGCCTTCATCCTGCAGAAGAACTAAGGCTCCTCAGTGTTCCAATAAAGCAGTCTCAGCCTGTTGAGAACCAATCAGCCTGCTTCTCTGCCTCATTTTTCTTATGTCTGGTATCAAGACCTGCGACCCTTTTAGGGTCCTCTGGGCAGAGAGCCCTCCTTCTCCCTTCCTTGGGGTCATTCCTACAGCAGCATACATCCCTACATAAGGCTCACTATATAGGCTAAACAGCCACCAGATCAACCTGACACGTTTGGTCTTCTGTCTCCATCAGTAGTGCCTTCAATTAATGCTTGCTGGCTTCCAGCCACACTGGTAGGAGAGAGCATATCCTAAAGAGAGATACTTATACCTGTTATAGGCATAGATCAGGGTCTGGGGGATACCTACTGCGATTACCATGTCTTTTCCATGAGGGTGGTTGATTGACCACACAAACTTTTGTGTGACATGTCCTGATCCAATCTTAACTTCGTTGGTTCGGTTCACCAAGCAGGGAGTCTTCTGGCGGGAGACAAAAGCCTGAAAAAAAATCTTTGCTTTAAGCTGCCAGGCTTTTGTCTCAAGTCAGGAGGGTGAGGAAGAAGTCGGCCATCTTGGAAGCTGGCCACATTTATTACCCGGCCATGGCCCCTCTCCCTAGCTGCCTGCCTAATGAGGAGTCGATCACATTCCCAATCTCTGACTTTTCAGTGTGTCTGCTGCATGTGTGTGTTTCCTCACCTCTAATAAACACCGTTGTAAACTGTTGATTCTGTCTGCAGTGTTTGAGATTTCCTGCCTTTTAATTCTTTAGCTGGAAGAGAAAACAAACCCAATTAAGACCCCTAGACTAAGACAGGTGGTGGTGGCGCACCCCTTTAATCCCAGCACTGGGGAGGCAGAGGCAAGCAGATCTCTGTGAGTTTGAGGCCAGCCTGGTCTACAAGAGCTAGTTCCAGGACAGGCTGCAAAGCTACAGAGAAACCCTGTGTCAATCAAACAAACAAAAAACCCTAGACTACATCAGCCCACCTACCCTGTGGTCCTTACGGAGGGATTTTCTCAACTAAGATTCTGTCTTCCCAGCTTTGTCTCTAGCTTGTGTCAAGTTGACACAGAACTAGGCCGCACAGGGCCTTTGCATAGGCTATTCCTTCTGCTACCTATCCTACCCAGAGGCCCACACATTCCTGGAAAGTCTGGATCCAGCAACCAGGCCCAGAGGGCCGCCCATAAAGGTGGCACTAAAGTCTAACCCAGCCTGAGGTCTAGGTCTAACCCAGCCTACTAGGACTGTAGGCTGGCTTTTCACACTGACCTTGAGTGCAGCTGCTGTGCAGATTCAGAATTTGGTACTAAAAATACTCTATGGCCTAGACGGGCCAATAAGGGATCTAGCCACGTGTGGGCGGGGTTAGTCAGAGCTGTGATGGAGGCTCACTTACAGGTAGGTCCTGTACACTCAAATCCTGAGAAAAGGTGGCCCTCTGATGGACAGGAGGGACCTGTGGGAGTGGGGACATTGCCATCACCTCCCTGGCTCTTCACAGGACCTCCATGATAAGTGACCATGTGGGACACATCTATCATTTTAGCTACTTGGGAGTCAGGGGAGTCAGGGATTGAGTTTGAATCCAGGAGTTTTGAGGGTAGCCCAAGCAAATAGTGCCCAGCACTGCTCGTGTCTCTAGGTCTCTAGGACTTGGGGTTTCCAGAGCTTGTCCTCACCAGTGACTCTCCAGGTAGAGTTTACCAAATGGGCCAGAGGTGTCCACTTCAAGCAGACCAAGAAGGCAGGCCTGGAACCTGCCTCTGCTTCCTGAGTGCTGGATTAAAGGCGTGTGACACCATGCCTGGCAAAAGTATCTCTTTAAGTTCTTCTGGATGGACTTGCTAAGGGAGGTATAGTAATTCTGTGCTTTAAGTTTTATTTAAATAAAATGAAATAATTATTATTTTGGTTTTCTGAGGTAGGATTTTGTCATGTAGCTCAGGTGTCATGACCTAGAACTCACTATTCTGACTCCAGTTTCTTAGTGCTGAGATTTTTAGGATCATTTGATAATTTTATATTCATCTATTTAGAGATAGGGCTTCACTATGCAACCCTGGCTTGCTTAGAAATCTCTATGTTGACAAGACTGATCTTGACCACAGAGATCTGCCTGCCTCTGCCTTTGGGGTGCTGGGAATGAAAGCGTACATCACCACATCTAGTGACAGGTTTACTTTAAATACTTGAGCACTAACTTCACTGTTTCCCACAGTGGCTATTGGAATATAAATCCCCACAAAACCCACAGGAAGATCTTTTCATACCTTGACAGCACTTGTTAATGTTTTGTTTGTGTAACCTTCTACTGAGCACAGGGATCTTTTAGAAGTGACAATTAAATGTCACCTTCTCATCTAGGCTTCCCGGATCACCTTATTTACCATGGAGGTCCATCTGGTATTATTTTCCAAGGTGCTGTTCTAGACAGCACTAGGTTGCTATAGTATTGAATTGGCTGGACCATGATGGACAGTGACTTTGTTGCCTACAGGATCCCCAGCGTTTATCAAAATATCCAACACACTGTAGGTTCTCAATAAATGGTTGATTAATGACGTTTTTGTCTCCTACCAAAATTTCAAGTCGCTCTCCAGTCTGCTTTTTGACTCCAGCCTGGCTCAGAACCCTGGGCTATGTCCTCCCTACAATACACACTCAGGAAGATCACGACAGGAGTCCGCACACCTTAGCTGGACTCGACTTGTTAGGGTCCTGTGGGTGAAATGGACCTAGGTTCTCAGAAGCTAAAGGGGGCGTCACCAGCCAGCCGGAGGTCTGCCTGCGGTGGTCCAGCATCTCCCGCAGCCCCTAGAGGGTCTCTTTGCGCCTCTTTTCATAGCCCCGCCCCCATGGCGATCTCGTGGGTCTTTGCTATTGGTCCATCTCTAGATGCTGTCAAGCGATCATTTCTAATTGGCCGCAAAACCTCCCACGCCTCCACCGCAGCCACAACAACCGCCATGTGCTCTACCGTGGGACTTCCTCATTGGCCAGCCGCCTCGCTGCACCTGGCCTTCCCGCTTCCTCTTCCCATTGGCTGTCCAGGCCGAGGCTCGGCCCTGCCGACGTCGATTGGCCAGCGGGGGGCGAGGCGGGGCTTGGGGCGGGTTAAGAGCACGGCGTCGCCGGCGCGCGCGCCTGGGATTTTCGATGGCCGGGCAGGGGCTGGCGGCGGGCTTCTTGCAGGTGCCCACGGTGACGCGCGCCTACACCACGGCCTGCGTCCTTACCACCGCCGCAGTGGTGAGCGGGCCGGCCGGGCGGGCGTGGCGGCGCTATGGTTACAGTCCCTGGCCGGCCCGAGGGGGTTAGGGAGGTCGCCGGTTTCCGGCGTCTTACACGCTTCCCGTCCCACAGCAGCTGGAACTCCTCAGCCCCTTCCAGCTCTACTTCAACCCGCACCTGGTGTTCCGGAAGTTCCAGGTGAGGTGGCCCCCGACCCTGGCACCTGTCAGCCAGGCCCTGGCCCCCCAGCCCCACGCCTCACCGCCACCCCACCTCTTCGCAGGTCTGGAGGCTCATCACGACATTCCTCTTCTTCGGGCCCCTGGGATTCGGCTTCTTCTTCAACATGCTCTTCGTGTATCCTGGGCCACGGGGGTGGGGTAGTGAGGTCGGGTTGGGGGAGGGGCGACGACGACGGTGTGCTGGGCCAGAAGCGGGGAAACTGAGGCCCAGTCAACGTGGCACTTCCTATACTAGTGTTGCAGGTTCCGCTACTGCCGCATGCTGGAGGAGGGTTCCTTCCGCGGTCGCAAGGCTGACTTCGTCTTCATGTTTCTCTTTGGTGGTGTTCTTATGACTGTATCCTTACCGTAGTATCGGTATTATTGGGCAAGGGACACCTCTGTCTAGCCTGTAGTGTCTCTGGGGTCTGACATGAAGTGCTCAGGCCGGGAGGGAAAAACATTCAGGGCCTAGCAACCATGTAGCCTAGATGCCCCAGCTAGACCTTTAGTGTTCCTGCAGAGCACAACAGGGACTAGGGCAGACTGGCAGAATACTGAGACTCTGAAACATGAAGAGCCAGAAGAAACCGGCGGAAGCCTGATGGAGATGGGTATCTAGAGCTACCCATAGGAAGTTCTGCTCGATATGGAATAGACCAGGGATATGAGGGAACCCCTTTTAAAAAACCAGCGAAGCACTGTGGGCAGCAGACCACCCCAGGTTGCCTTGACACTGGCCCAGCTGCTGGGATTCCTGGGCAGCCTCTTTTTCCTGGGACAGGCCCTCATGGCCATGCTGGTCTATGTATGGAGCCGGCGCAGCCCTCAGGTGAGGGTCAACTTCTTCGGCTTACTCAACTTCCAGGCGCCATTTCTGCCCTGGGCCCTCATGGGCTTCTCCATGCTGCTGGGCAACTCCGTCCTCACAGACCTGCTAGGTGAGCCTGCCCACCCTTCCCACTCACCTCAAGCCAGCTGCTCCCATTAGGGCCTGCAGCTCACACACACATCCCTTCCCCCTGCACCTAACCTCTCTCTTGTGTACCTCCCAATTTCCTCTTCCTGTCCTAACTCCTGTTCTGTTCTTAATGCCCCTCAAAGAGTCCAGCTGCCCCACAGGATTTGCATCTGTGGTTGACCTGCAGACACTATAGTTGGTCCTGCCTGGGGGTGGTTAGTTTCTGCTTCCTGGCTCCTACCCGTACCCCAGTGTTCTTAGGCCCCTAGTCCCTCCCCAGGTACTGTCCATTTTGGGGCCCCTTTATACCTTTCAAATCCAGTTCTGATCTTACCCTGAACTAGCAGATAACAGGGTGCTTCTGCTCTGGAACCTGGGGCTATACTGGGCTGTGAAAGATGGCTTCTGCCAGCCTTTGGCTCTCTTGTAGGGATTGTTGTGGGCCACATCTACTACTTCCTAGAAGATGTCTTTCCTAACCAGCCTGGAGGCAAGAGACTGCTGCTGACCCCCAGCTTTCTGTGAGTGTCGGACAACTGCTTTCCCTCCCGCAGGTGGCAGTCTACCTACCCACGGGGGAACTTGTGTTTACTGCAGCTCAGTATAGCTGTCCCCTCCCCACAGGAAGCTACTACTAGATGACCCTCAAGAGGACCCCAATTACCTGCCCCTTCCGGAAGAGCAACCAGAGCCCTAACTGCAGCCCCTGGAGCAGTAAACCCACTTGGCAGCGTGAGGCTTCTGGCAGGGCCCTACCTTTTCTTACAGCCAAGCAACCCATCTAGAAGGCTGGGCCCACCAACAGGCTTGTGACCTCAGCCAGCAACACCCTACACTCCTCTGTGTCACCTATCTCTCTGCTCAACTCTAGGTGGTAGGACATGGGGCCCAGAGAGGGTGAAGACTGTCTTCAGATGCCCAGCAGAGCTCTGGACTAACTACAGACCCTTTCCCATCCTCATGCTGCCAGTGCCTTGATGGAGCACCAGGAACAAATCTTAAACACCCAGGATCATGCCCAGTCTCCAGGTATCCTGCCTGGGGTGACTGTGGGCTGATATCCATTCTCCTAGCCTCTCTGTCCTCATTTAAAGCAAGCAAGTCTTCACGTTCTTCTCCAGCAGAGAATAGGTTTGATCCTTTGCCACTCTAATGAGCCCAGGACCTTGAGCTCCATCGTAGCAGCACCCTGTGTAGAGCAGAGGTGGTTCTGAGATGTTCTGTTTACTAAAGGCCTGCGAGTCCTTCCTACCCTCACCTCCTCTGAACTGAGGATGTTGATGTGGCCAGTTTTCCTGTGCGCCACTGGGGCTTACTCCTGGATGCCCAAAAGCATGGGAATTCCCCAAACCACTGCTTGTTATTTCTATGGTAACAAAAATGTTTTCTATCGAGTCTGACTCAAGTTTGTAGTGAAACCTGGTGGGGCTGAAAGTTATGTTGCTGTGTGGGGTGGAGGTGCTTAAAGCAGGCAGGGTCTAGGGTGTGGGGAGAGGGGTAGAACACTCCCTAGGAGCACCTGCTGAGAGAGGGTAGCATCAGACTGTAGCTGGGTGCCGGGATCACTGTCTTCAATCACAACCTGTATGCCCAGTTTGCCAAGCAGAGCCTGGCTTACTGCAGACCCATGTCACCTTAACGGATCCTATGTCCATTCTATACCATACCACAAACCATGGACAAGGGAATGCGTAGCTTACCAAAAGGACAGCTTGGGGATAGGGTAGAGGGCTGTACCTCTTCTCCACATACTGCCAACTCGGAAGGATGGCACACGGCTGCTGGGCTATTTCCCTACTCCTCACAACAGGTGGGAAAGGAGAAGCTGGTCCAGGCCACAATGGAGATGGGTTGCTAGAACTCTGATACAGAAGACTTCTTGTTTGCATACTAGTGATGTCATGTCCAGGCACTGCCCACGCATGACCAAGTCCTCTAGAAGGGACTCTAGAGCAGTAAGGTCTCCCTAGCTGGCAGTAGCCTGTCTGGGTACACCAGGACCAAGGCCAGCAAAGATGCCTGACACATTTCTGTCAACCTCTACAAAGACTTGCTGAGCACAGAGTGTCACACGGAAGCTGGAAGGCCCAAGAAGGAACTGACTGGGCTCTGCTTTGGGGTCCTTACGGCTGGCCGTGGAGACCCAGTGATCTCCACTCACTACCTGAGAAGGGAAGAACTGGCATATCAACCTTGGCCACACACCACTCCCACCCACACAGGGTCTGCTTCAGGCCCCACACCTAGCTCACATTTTTATGCTATCAACACCAAAGAAACTGAATTTATTACTTTTTATTTAAAAAGTGTTACTAGCCCTGTCTGAGGCTCCTATACAAAAACAAAACACAACCCAAAAGAGGCTGCTTCCTGACTAGACTTTGAGGGACAGTGCTGGAGCTTAGCAAATGGAATGTGTGCTGAAGGAAGGCACCTGGGAGGCCCTACCCCATTCCTCAGGATGGTACCAGCTGTCCCTTTGCCTCTGTCCTTACCACAGAGGAAGGAAAGGCAGTCTTCTGAGATGCTCTGTGGAAGCTGAGCATGAATGATGACTTCATCACCAGGCGGGGGCAGTGTTGGCGAGACGCCTCATTCGCCTGAAGTAGAAGAACAGGTGGTCAGCTGGGGCTGGTCACAGCTCTGGGTGGCCACCCTCCTAGGTTTGTTATTTTTCTAAAGTAGCTAGGTATGGGGCCCATCTAGCAGGAATAGTCTCCAGCCTTTTCTTGACCTTGCCAGTCTGCTGCACAAGCCCTGGTTATCTCTATAGAAATGCTGAGACCTGCTAAGGGATGTTGTTCTCTTAAGGAAATGTACCCTGGGGCCTGATACCCACAGAAACTTCCTCTTAAAACTAGGTTCCTGGGGAGATATTCCCTGCCTCTGCCAGGGAAGATAGGTGCCTGTGGTGTACCTTGTGTTCCGGTCTTGATCCCGGATCTTCTTCTCCATCTCTGCATCCGTCAATGTCTCCAGTAGAGGGCACCACTGGTCAGCATCTCCAGTATTTCGGATGGCAATCTCGACTGTAGGAAGTGGGTTCTCACTGAGGGAAGAGAAACACAGAGAGATAACAAGCACTAGTTAACAGAATGGCAGCTTGGAAGTCCCCCAGAAACCACTGCTTTCTACCCTGCCATCCCTTAGCAGATGGCCAGGGCACAGCAGGAAGGTCCACTTCCTTGTCCTAGCTCTTCCCCACAGCAATGCTGATGGGCAGCTGAGGGATGACTTTTGTCACTGAGCCTCAAGCTGATGCCAGGATGTGTCCAACAGAAACAGTACTACCAACAGCCTAGACAGCCTCCCTTCAAAGCTGAGTCTTCTCGTAAGAACTGGGGGAGCTGCTGGCTATGGAGGTGGTTTCTTTGGACAAAATAGTGTCTCGGGTACAGATGACTGATAAAGACTATAGCCAGACCTGTCTACCCAACACTGCCCAGGGCCAGTACCCACCAAGACCCACTGATCAAGGAAATACCAGGAACACCAAAGGGAAGGGTACGGTAGAGTTGTAAAAGGACTTCTCCAGAGGCCAGACCTCCTCACGAAGGCCACTGGGCTGGCCTGCTCTCAACTGTTCTTTATACATCTATCACCAGTCTAATTGCTTTGAGACAGGCATCTCGTTGGCAGAGAACTGAGCCAGGTTTAGAGCTCCTTAGAGACCACCTGGACTCCACCCTAAAGTGGGAGGAGCCATCTGTTCAAGCCTCTTGCCAAATGTGTACAATGGTGGGAACAAATGGGATGAAGGCTGCGAGGGCACAAGTACTGGGGCGATAGGGGTGGCTATGCTCCGCACCTTGGTTTCCAAGCTGGTAAGGAAGCTAAGGAGGTACCCAATGTGTCACAGCAAGGCTCTAAGCAGGTCCTCTCCTCTACCCATCACACTGGCCTCCCTACTCTACTCAGTCCTCATCAGGTGTGCCCACCCGCTGTCCTGCAGCACCTTCTAACTCTGGAAAAGGAGACGACAGCACCCAAATCATACTGGGCAGATGAAAATGGGATAAACACAGCTGACTGGGCTGTTTTGGTCTGTCTAAAATATGGGAGCTGAGTTTACTGTTGGGAGGCTTAACATTAAAACAGCCAACATTCATTGCAGAGGCCTCTTCCAAGCCAGACAGGTCCTTACATGGCCTCTTTTGGGCTTCAGGGACAGTGGACTTCACAAAAGCAAATCAGACTTGATAACAGAGTGGCAATTCTTCATCAATGCACCAAGCCAGCACAGGCCAAACCTGGCAGTTGAGAAAGGCTGGGCTAGGGCCAATTCTTGGCATAAAGATTTCAGGGACTTTTAGCCTGGATCAAGGCCAGAGTATGGGTAAAGCTGGCTCCTTGGCAGACACAGGTCTGACTTACTACCGAAGCTCAGCTGACATCTATACTCACAGGCCCCACAGAACCTGGAAGCCCAAACTCCTGCTGGTGACTTAAGAGGCCAGAGACCAGTCAGCCCCCACCCTGTGGTCCCAGGGCCGGCCTCTTCTCAGCAGCTTCATTTGGAAATCCAGGAACAGCCCAGCAGACTCATCCTCATCTCCAGATCGGCTCCCTTGGGAGGGCAGATTTGAAAGGCGCCAAACCCAGGCAGAAGGAATCAAAACATGTTTTTCTCTGAGTTTAAAGAAGAGCTGGCAAAGAGGCCCAGAGTCCTTTTGTTTACCTCCTTGACTCTGGCACACCATGGATTTGTTCAAAACTATAACTACTAGAGCTGACCATGGAGGGATGGGCACAGAGCCAAAACCAGCTGCCTCAGCTTTGTGAGACATGCAAGCAGAGCTGCTGCCCTGAGTCCCAAGTCTGAGCCAGCATCCATTATTCCAAGGGGATCCCTACTCATCAACTCTGAGGCCAGGAAGGAGCCTGGACATTCTCCAACCACACTGATCCCATGCAAGGGCTGCTAGAAAGCAACGGTGAGAGGAGAGACTGATGCTAGTGGAGGGTACTTGAGTTTATTTCTGATGTAAAGTGGTGGTGGTTGTTTTTTAAGACAGGGTCTCTCTGTGTAGTCTTGATTGTCCTAGAACTCAATGTATAGACCAGGCTGACCTCAAACTCAAGAGAGCTACCTGCTTCTACCTCTCAAATGCTGGGATTAAAGGTGTGTGCCACCATGTCAGACCTAGATGTAAGACTTTGTTTTCTTGATGTACAGGCAAGCTGAAAAGTTGTTACCATCCCCTCTCCATAAAGAACAGAACGGGGACACAAGAAAGAAATGACCTGCCTAAGGCCACTTAACAGGGGGGAAAGAGGACCAAATTCTACATTCACCCTTAGGTTTACAAGCCACAGCCGCCATGCCCCTTAGAGCATGATTAGAGATCCGCATTTTTTTTGTTTGTTTGTTTTGTTTTTTTTTTGAGACAAGGTTTCTCTGTAGCTTTGAGCCTGTCCTGGAACTAACTCTTGTAGACCAGGCTGGTCTCGAACTCACAGAGATCCACCTGCCTCTGCCTCCAGAATGCTGGGATTAAAGGCGTGTGCCACTACTGCCCAGTTAGGCAATGCTGTCTTAAAAGTGACACAAACACACAAATGTGTACTGGAATGTGTGTGTGTGTGTGTAGCAACCAACTAAAAAAACCAGATGAACTGGACTGTTATTTTATTTCATCAAAATAACAATTTTTGTACTGCAAAGGACACTATCAAAAAAGTGAAAAGGCAACTCAGAAGATGGGGAAGATATTTACAAATCATACCTACTAAGGAATGTGTGCCCAGACTATATAGAAACTCTTTCAAACAAGTAAAGAAGAGCCAGTTAAAATACAGGCTAGTGAGAAGGCTCAGTATGAGGACCTGAGTTCCTGCATGGTGGAAAGAACTGATTCCTAAATTTGTCCTCTGACCTCACACATGTGCACATACCCCTCCAAAATAAACTGGGGTGAAGTAAATGACCTGAACAAGACATTTTCAAAGAGCTACACACATACACACAAAGGACCAATCAATGAAAAGATACTCACCAGGAAACACAACTCTAGCCTATAATCACTTAACACTCACCAGGATAGCTACAGTCAGCATGGTAAGACAAGCCCTGGCCAGGGAGCAAAGCCTGTACCCACACCGCTGGTGGTTCTCTAGGATGCTGCAGTCACCATAAAAACAACTCAGCAGCTCCTCAGATGCCAGCTGTGACAGCAGATCATATAATCCAGGCTCGCAGAAGGCTGGGTCAGAAGCACTGCCATGAATTCTATACTAGAGGCTACCCTGAGCTACAAAGTAAGATCCTGTCCCAATAAAACAACAAAACAAAAGTTAATACAAAATACTGCTACTGGGTGGAGAGCCAGGAGAACTGACAAGAGTGTTTAAACACAAAACACACAAATGTCCTTAGCAATTATTTACCATAGTC